ATTGGAATAAACATTTTGCCTATTTAGGTAGTAAAACATCCATCGGAAAACAAATATCGGTATCGGAATAATACATCAGTCACGTTATTTATTAAAAAATCTTTGAGATGCCCAAAACTCAGACATCGAGTAATATCCAAACATTCATATGTTTATACTTAAGTTCAATAAGAATGCTTTCCGAAAAACTGCGATGATTGGAGCCTGGGAACAAAAAAGCCCCAAAATTTTTTGCCCCTCTCCTACTTTACCTCCAACGTGAGAGGAAAAAGTTGATGAAATTTAGTTTGATCGTATAATATTACAGCGTTCAAAAAATATGATCATATAAAGTTTGTACCCCACTTAATATGATGGGTTGAAATCTATTTGAGAATAGTACAAAAAAGATTTTGAAATCTTAAATTGCTTTAAAGAAACTGTTAAAAAGAGTATTTTAAAGAAAAAAAATTTAATAACTCATTTTTATGAAATTTTTTGACTGCTAGCTTTGTATATAATTTCTTATTTTTTAATATATAAATATATTTTGAACATTGCATTAGCATAAATGTGTAAATTTTTCAAAAAAAAATACGATAAATATATTTCTAATCTTGTTTTAATACCATTATAATGTTATGATTTTATGTAAAAAATTTTATGAATATGTTTTTTTATGCATGACAATGTAGAGTGGTTCTTGATGATAAAAACATTTAGTCTTCTTGGTTCTTAATTTGGTCTTCTCCAAGTTTCCCGCTTTTTATTATACAGTGCTACGGTGAAGTTTATTTATTATTTTTGTGAAACCTTTTTGTTATTTTTTGTTTTTATTTGTATATTCACTGTCAACGAATCTTAATTATGTAATTATGAAGTTGTAATATTATGGAACAAAAAGTAAGCTTATAATAAAAAATAATTAAATAAATATAAAAAAGAAGTAAATTAAGATTTTCCGAAAACTTCTTCGCATTTAAAAATCCAAAAGTCGTAAAAGAAAGCAAATGTTTAAAGGTTAAAGATAAAAGTAGGGTATATAAATGGTAACACAATGCGCAACAAAAGGTTGTTAGACAACAGTCAAGGAAGATGAACGAGTTTTTTTTTTTAATATTTTATCTTAAATACTTACAAATTTTTTTATCTGCCATCACTTAGGTGTTGATACTTTACCAATTTTTGATTATAATTAGCTGTAGTTTTTTTTTTAATCTTATTGTTCACTTTATAACCTAATTTATGTGTAACCTTGTCTAATAGAGGTGAGTTGAGCAGCTTACAAAGCAGTGAGTTGAGCAGCTTACAAAAAAATTAATAAGACTGAAACAGTTTTATCTGGACAGAAACCTATCTGCTCAAGATATACTTTCAATAACAGATATAAATCCATATTATTTAAAGATACTTTCCAATCTGTCAAGATTCTAAGAATTTGTAGTATCTTTTTTTTTGGAATCAAACTTTTATCTAGTCTGCTATGTTCAGGTTGTGCCGAGTACCATATGGTATACCATATAACTTTGATGTCTTGAAGATTGACATTTGGTTCTTTGGGATATCTAACAAGGCGTTTTGCGTGGTTTCTGCTGGATACAATGCACATAATCGACTACCTGGTTTGCGTTTAAAAATTCTCTTATTTCTTGCAATTGTTCTTGTATATTTAAAAATATTTTATGTCTTTATATCTTTTTTAACTAGAAATAACTGTCTGAAACATTAAAAAGTTACAATAGCATTGAAATATCAATTACCTAAAATTATTTGGATTTTTGTGGAAATGTGATTGGAAGTAACCAAAAATTAATGGCATCAATGATATTATAGTTGGAGTATACCACTTGAACATCTACATAATTTTTTTTTAGAAAGCAATTAAAATCAAAAATTAAAATTAAAAGAATGTAGGCATTTTTTGTGTACATGTAACAATCGTTGTTTTGTTGTTTGAACCTTAACACATTTCCACGAGTTAGAATCATTTAACAGTCATTATAATTTCAAAAATATACACTGAATACAACAATATACCAAAATCAGAATACATTGAATCAGAGATGCGGAGTCCAAAAAAGGACTCCGAATTTCAAAGCCACAAAAAGGTTACTTTATCCTAGCTTTTGGTATCCAGGAGCTCTAAAAATATAAATAAGTTTATGGACTACTAATAGGAAAAAAATTAAGACTTTTAGGTTAGAGGAACAATCATTTTTTGAACCCGGAGTCCTTAGGTATAATGGCCGCAAGGATTCCGGGACTCCAGGACTCCGAGCTTAAAAGCAATAAGTTTCAAGTCATTAAATCTCATAAATTTTTTTCTTATAGCAGATCATAAACCAACAAACATGTTTCGAGCTTCTGGACACTACAGGCTTGGAAAAAGTAGAGATATAAAGCCGGAGTCCTTTTGGGACTCCGCATCCCTGCACAAAATAAAAAAATATACCAAAAGAAAAATTAAGATGGGTGGTTATTTTACAAGTATAATTTTAGGCCAACACATTTGTAACTAACAAGAAAAATAATCAAAGCCACCTTGTTTTACGGTCAAAGAAACTATAAAATCAGTTGTAGACATTCACTGTTTTTGTATAGTTTATAAGTAAAGTCTAGGGGTTTTTCTTTTTTTTTCCTAGCAAATGAGTAACTGTCGCCATTTTTAACTACTTCATTCTTCTTATTTTCTTTTTTTTTAATGCAGAAATATTTTTCTTTTGAGCTTCTTCCCCTTAAATTGGTTTATATGTTCAAGCGTTTAATAAGTAAGTTTATATGAAGAGAAAGCCAAGATTGCAATTTTTTTTGTACTATTAAAGTCAACTTTGCATTTCCAAGTAGAAGCATCAAAAAAGATATTAAAAAAACTAAAATTACTAAATCTAAAGGTTATATCAAACAGGGAGGCAGACAGAAGAAAACGCTAGTCACCTTTGCAATATTTAACTTTACAAAGAGAATGTTTGTAATGTCTCTCCATCATTGTTAAAGCAGCTATAAATTTATAAACTCAGGCTCCTTATTACAACTATGTCTCTTACTGTTTTTTAAATGAATTAGGCTATAATTAATTAATTAGGCATTTAAGTTGAACATTTATAACGAGACGTTAGAAAAGCAAATAGTTGGACGGATGAAATAAATTACATTATTTTTTCTGTGTACGGCTATTTAAATAGCCGTATACAAAAAAGATAATGTAAAAATAACAATAACATGTGATCAGTTTAAAAAAAACGGTTTTCAAAACATTCCGTAAGCAGTTTCAAATATTTGATTTTTTCTTTGTTTGGCTCAAAATCTAAAACTTGTAAAATTTAAATGCATAATAAAGTTTAAAAAAAAAAGACAAAAATAAAAGTCGAAATTCTCTTACAACAATTTTTTAAATTAAAAAAAAAAGATTACAAAAAAGTCGGGGGAGTTGAAAGAACTTAAAACATTTATAAAATGTTTAAAGTTCTTTCAAAATTCTTGTGTGTACAAAAAATACTACAGCATGCGCAGATTAGTGGAGTTTGTAAATAAGACATTCGGAACCCTACTCCTCCCTTTTTTTATTCTTTATACTTTATATTGATTTACCATCAATGGTAATAAACAATCAAGAAAGCTAATTAAATTTATTTATTTAAAAAACTTTACATAAACTTTATAATCAAGATGCTCCGCTTTTTTTTAAACTTTTTTATTATTTACTATAATTTTACTTTTATCATTTCACATAATTTCATTTACTTTCTTTATTTTAATAATTTTTTTTTTTTTTGCGCGCGCATACGTAAACATACACGTGTATATACATTTATGTGTCTATGTATATACATTTGTATATATATATATTTATCATTTGAATATTTAAAGGACAGGTAAAGTTTGTTTAGTAATTTTTCTAGGGACAGGCATATAAGCCAACTTCAGGATTTAGGGAGTCAATTTTTTGATAAAAAACTATTTTTATTATTTTTTTTATATCTGGAATTAAAGACAGTTTAGCAGACAAATAAGATATTATATTTTGTAATAATTATAAATACAATACAAAATACAATAAGATATTGTATTTTGTAGACAAATAAGATATTATGTTTTGTGCTTTACGGTACCTAATATACTTTAATTTCCATTCAACTTTATTTTTTAAAGAATTTCAAACATACTTATAACCTATAATATATATATATATATATATATATATATATATATATATATATATATATATATATATATATATATATATATATATATATATATATATATATATATATATATATATATATATATATTTATATATATATATATATATATATATATATATATATATATATATATATATATATATATATATATATATATATATATATATATATATATATATATATATATATATATATATATTATAGGTTATAAGTGTGTTTGAAATTCTTTAAAGAATAAATATCATAAAATGTCTTAATGTAATTTTTAAGTTTATGCTAAAAAGTTATTCTATATCCATTAAATATTTAACTGTTGAAATTTTTCTAATATAGTATTCTAAACTTTAAAAGTATTAAAAACTATTATTTCTAAAGTTGCATCAAATTTTGCTTTTTTGAGCTAAGATTTCAAAATTATGTCTATTAAAAAACTTTTAAAAATATTTTTTTATAATATTACTCTACGATTGTTTTTGTGACTCTAAACAATAACTTTAACAAAAAAAATAATTTTTTTCCAACTTATTTATTACATCAAACATATTTCGAAATGTATGTAAAAATTTTATAGTTACATATCCAGGGTTTTGACTAGATTTAAAAAAACAAACATTAATAAAACATAAGATTTTTCTCTTATACCAAAAAATCAATAAATAAAAAAATATTTTTTTTTTTTTAACTTCGACATGTTAAAATTTAACAACTTTTAAATGATTTTCAATGTAGTATAGGTAATGAGATAATAAAGGAAAAGCAAATAATATTAATAAACTTTTTAAATTCATTAATGTAAAATATAAGGAAAAAAAAAGGCAATTCAATAAGTTATACTTATTTGATTATCGCATAACTACATATTATGTTTGTCATAAATATACTATTCTATATACATATATAAATACAAATATATATATTGTTTTTCATGTAGTTTATCATAATGCTGTATATTCTTCGTCTAGCTATCATTTCTCCACATAATTTTTATATACAGACAATGTTTACAGACAAAGTATACAGACAAAATTTCGTTCTATTTTTTACTTATTATTATATCTTCTTCAACCACAAAGCCATTTATAATGATTGGTGATTCCGTTGGATATTCTGGTTTTACACAGGTTAGCATACACCCCAGCCTTCTATGCACGCAGCTAATTTGCTCGCCAAGAGATCTGGAATGAGAGTCACAAAGGTCGTATTGACCATGGCATTCGCTTTCACATGAAAATGCTTTAATCAAGTTGAACTTTTCGAACCTTTTCAAAGGAGACGCATTTAATCTTAAAACCAAAACAACAAGACTCAGTAAAAACATCGTTAACGTCATTCTCAATATCAAGATTCATCTGAAGAGAAAATGGGTTGGAACAAATATTTATACCGTTACCGTAAGAGTAATAGAACCAATAAAATAGAATAAATTTTTTCCCTTTTACAATTAATTCTTTTGTGTCCGTTGGTATTTCCTGTCGCAGTCACGCTGTCTTATAGTCACACTGATCTTGATAAAATAATAAATGGAAGTAATTTTTTTATAACGATGGGGCGTTTGTGAATGGCCATATAATTGTGCGTCAATTAAACTAAAACTTAATAGCTTTGCAATAACAAACGAAAATTGTTTGTTTCTGATGTCGTCAACGTTTCAATTCTAATAAAATACTAAAGTTATGTGTGATAAACACACATAACCAGCATAAATCATTATTCATAAACAATGTGTAAATAAATTGTAAAATAAATGTAAAAACAATATTTTTAGCATTTAAAAAATTAAAATTGGCATTTTTATACAAAACTTTAACACAAAATTCATAAGAAAAGTTTGTAAGAAAATCTCCCTTAAGATTAGCTTAAATCATTGTAAAAAATTTCCTATAAAATTACTTTCGATTTGAAGCGGCAATTTAAAATTGTAAACAATATTTAAATTATATTATCATTGACTATTGGAGTTGAGCCATCGCTGTAAATCACTGCTTGCACTGTTCATTTATTTGACACCAGAAAAATAAGTTTGCAATAATTGCCATTATCAAAAACTGATTCATTTAAGAGAAAAAAATTATCAACGAAGACAAACCTTATACCACAACGTGCGTACACCTTTTAAGAAAAATTTGTAAAAAGTTTTGAGTAAAATTACTACTTTAAAAAAAAAATCTACAAGTATTGTACAACATCTTTTGCTAAAAATGTAAAAATTAAGTTTATCAGTTGTATTATAAGATAAAGTAATATATCATGTAAATAATTGTTTATTTTATTTAAAAGGTAATAAAAATCGGATGCCATATCATTTAAATATATTTTTGTTTATCTTTTTTTCAAGATTTTTTTCAAGATTTTTTAGGACTTTTTGCGATTTTTTTGATTTGTTTTTTTATACTCGTTCTAATACTTATTAAGTTCTATTTAACCTAACTTTTACCTAAAGTTTGGATATAAGATTTTATGTTTGTTCTTGCATAACAAGAACACTAAATTACAGGTTTTTTTAAATAAAAGAGGAAAATGTTGGAGTCTGATAGATTATTTTAGACATTAATAGATAGAGAATGCGTTAGGTATGCTGGATACTTTTAAACAACAAAAATTAGAATAACAAACAACTCAGAGTCTACATATTATGATGATCTTTATATAGCATATAGATATCCAGCATTATATGTAGACACTGAACATAACTAGATTATAATATGTATTACATATAATGTAGATTTTTAAAATAATGAACTTTTGAATTTTAACTCCAATGAACTTTTGTTAAAATTTTATAAAGTTTATTTGATTGGTAGTAACAGACTTTAGGAGTAAAGAATTATGAGTCGCTGCATCATTTTAAACTATTTATTACAGCTATTAAATAAAAATAACAATAAAAAGTTTCAAAATGTAAATGGCAAAAAATCTTTCAAATGAATTTCATTTTTAAAAATCGCGGTCAACGGTAAACGTATGGTAATTAAAATAAACCGGTAAAAAAACAATACAAATAAAAATTTTATATTTTACGTCTATGACATAAAAATATTTAATAAGTTTGACAAATTAGTCTGTAAAACGTTTATTGAGGGTAGCACATTTGTCTGTTAGAGGTTTATTGAGGCTAATATATTTGTATGTCTGACATTTAATAAATCATTTCCGTGACGTCGCAGCTTAGTTAGTTTTTTTTTTAGTTGTTTCAATTTATTTAACTTAATGTACCGGTTACCGGTATTTCTTTTGTTTCAGTTTTTTCTTATAAAAATACAATGCAAATTAATTTTTTTTCTTTTATACTTTGCCGTTTAAGAACAGTTACTTTAACAAAATATGCAAATTAATATTTACATGGTCGAGGCAAATAGAAGACAAATGTAGTCTTATCATGCTGTCTCAAAATTTATGCAGAATTTTATACAAATTTTAATTTAAATTGCTAAAAAAAAATATTAGTTTTCTTGCTTAGTAATTATCTGCCCGTAATTTGAAAATTTGGAGAATTCTATATTTTAAGTCCTTTAATTGTAATGGTGAATTGGTGAACATATGATACGTTTTGTGTTAAGTGTAGCTCTAATTTGAAAATCTGGTAGAGTAAACATGATTTATTTTGGTCATTGTTAAAACCGATTTTGTAGATAAAAACGGGATAAAATTTTTGGTCAGAATATTTACTTTTTGTCTGCAAAAAAGTTTTTTTATTTTGGATACATAGGTGCTGTACTAAGCAATGTTTCATGAATAAAGTAGCAGTGAATAATATAAATAATAATTTATTGGCGTGTTTTTAATCATTTTACATTATTTACTAGAGAAAATTTACATTATTGTAAGAGGAAATTAAGTTTATGTTATTCGTAAACAAAATTAAATTTAAAATATTAGAAAATTAATTTTAGTTACTTTTACAAACGTAAAAGGAAGAGTGGTCCAAGTATTGATCTTTAAGTAACACCGCCAGTGATTGTCATATATTTTTATTTAAATTCGTTAGACGACATTTTTAAAAGTTACTTATCTAACAAGCAACAATATGTTGCCTGTTAGATAAGTAAACTTTGAGCTTTTGATCCCAAAATGTTTAAGTTTAGCCAGAAGAATAATGTGATATACCGTGTCAAACGCTTTGATGAGATCATTGAAGACAACTATTGTTTATATTTTTTTCATTGAACGCTTTAAGTATGTCATAAATAAGATGAATAATGACATGGTCAGTGGAATGTCCTGATTTAAATCCGAATTGTTTATTATAAAGAATATTATTTACATTGAAAAAATACTATAGTTTATAAAATATATTTTTTTTGAGTATTTTTGAAAAACTAGGTAGAGCTGAGTTAGTTTATAATTTACAATTCAGTTAGTAATGAGCTAAATATATAGCGCTAATTAACTCTAACCTCGCTCTACCAAACTTTTATTTTTATTATTAGGACACGATTAGCTTTAATCCCAAGCCAATGGGCGCACCAACGCTTACTTAGGTTGTGTTAATGTTGTATTAACGTTGGGAATGGAAAGGATAGACAATTCCATATTTTCCGAAGTTAACCAATGTTATAATCTTGATGTAAAGGCAACGTATTTTAAAAAAAAAAAATACAAGCCTACGACCGTATTCAAACCCCGATCGTGAGGTCGACATTACTCAACGTAACCCAATATAAGTCCAACGTTGGATCAACATAGTGTTTCCACTGGGATGATTCAGTTTTTTTTTTTTTTAAAGATAAATACATAACTGCTTACAAAAGTCTCAACATAAACTAACTCTAAACTAGTCCGAACTCAATGTGCTTTCCAGTGGGCATGCATAGTTTCGACGTCCAGACGTCAGTAAGACGTCCGTCGGACGTCTTAATGACGTCTGGACGTCAGCGGGACTTTTGTGTGCAGTTAAAAAAAGCTGACTTTTGTATGCAATAAAAAAAGTTGAATCATCCCAGTGGAAACAGCGTAATTAACTCTAACCTCGCCTCGTGGTAGAGCGAGGTTAGAGTTAATTAGCGCTATATATTTAGCTCATTACTAACTAAATTGTAAATTATAAACTAACTCAGCTCTACCTAGTTTTTCGAAAATACTCAAAAAAAATATATTTTATAAACTATAGTATTTTTTCAATGTAAATAATATTCTTTATAATAAACAATTCGGATTTAAATCAGGACATTCCACTGACCATGTCATTATTCATCTTATTTATGACATACTTAAAGCGTTCAATGAAAAAAATATAAACAATAGTTGTCTTCAATGATCTCATCAAAGCGTTTGACACGGTATATCACATTATTCTTCTGGCTAAACTTAAACATTTTGGGATCAAAAGCTCAAAGTTTACTTATCTAACAGGCAACATATTGTTGCTTGTTAGATAAGTAACTTTTAAAAATGTCGTCTAACGAATTTAAATAAAAATATATGACAATCACTGGCGGTGTTACTTAAAGATCAATACTTGGACCACTCTTCCTTTTACGTTTGTAAAAGTAACTAAAATTAATTTTCTAATATTTTAAATTTAATTTTGTTTACGAATAACATAAACTTAATTTCCTCTTACAATAATGTAAATTTTCTCTAGTAAATAATGTAAAATGATTAAAAACACGCCAATAAATTATTATCTATATACTATTTATATTTATTTTATTCACTGCTACTTTAGTCATGAAACATTGCTTAGTACAGCACCTATGTATCCAAAATAAAAAAACTTTTTTGCAGACAAAAAGTAGATATTCTGACCAAAAATTTTATCCCGTTTTTATCTACAAAATCGGTTTTAACAATGACCAAAATAAATCATGTTTACTCTACCAGATTTTCAAACTAGAGCTACACTTAACACAAAACGTATCATATGTTCACCAATTCACCATTACAATTAAAGGACTTAAAATATGGAATTCTCCAAATTTTCAAATTACGGGTAGATAATTACTAAGCAAGAAAACTAATATTTTTTTTTAGCAATTTAAATTAAAATTTGTATAAAATTCTGCATAAATTTTGAGACAGCATGATAAGACTACATTTGTCTTCTATTTGCCCCGACCATGTAAATGTTTATTTGCATGGTCGGGGCAAATAGAAGAAAAATTTATTTGCTCTAGGCATATTTTATAGTTTTATTCTTGTTATGAATAACAAAATATCCTAAAGTTAATTGTACTATGCTTGTTTTTGGTTTCTTATTTTTACACCTAGATAAAGTGAAAAATATAAAGACATAACACATAGTGTAAACTAATCACATAGTAATTGTATGAACTTTAAGTATGTTTTGTTTTAAAATTACCAACAAATAATTATGTTTATAAGTGTTTTTACCTTTGTATAAGCAAGCCTTTGATGACAAATATTAAAGTGAACATACTAATAAATAATTTTCAAAAAACATTAGTGATTGGTGCCTGGAAAAATATGAAATAAATAAAATAAATAATAGTTGTTTCTTCAAAAATATTAGGCTTCCACAGTACTTGTGTACATGCTTAAATTTGCGTAATAACGTCAGTGTACAACTTACAACTTAAATTTACCTCCGTCATTTTTACAACTAAATGTGCGTATCAATTGTACAATTGACAACTTTTTATAACTAAATGTGCGTCAATCATACCTCTTACGAATGTTTTTTTTTTTATAACTAAGTAATTTATATAATAAAAAAAATAAATAAACTAATCAAAATTATGTAAAGAGCTATATAAAAATTACTTCAGTATATTCAAATATAATATAATTACATTGAGTATTTTACCTTTTTTTCATTGTAGTATATTACGTGGCAGAATTTTAATGTGTATATAAAACAAGGTCTATCTTAAATAGCCTGGTTTCTACTTTCTCAAAACTATTTTTTCATTTGAGGTTTGCAGTACTTAGAAACTCCTCATTTAAAGCAACAAATTTTCAGCTAATCTAAAAAATCACTAAATTTAAATTTGATGACCTAAATATTGGTTTAGATCAAAAACTTTCTAAAAAATAATTTTTCCTTTAAACTAAAGCAAAGTTTTGAAAGTTAGTTTTGCCGGATGTCAATACAACAAACAACAACTTCGCTTAATAACCAATATTTTAAATTAAAATTCCTCAGCAGTCAGGGACAATATTGATATTCAACTACCAACTAATCTCTTTTTAAAGTAAAATAAAATATTTTACAAAAAGTATTGTTCTGTTTTAAAGTTTTAATATTAAAACCTGAAGTTCGATTTTTGAATCTTGGAAACGATACTATGCCAACTTTATTATTGTTTATAATTCTAAATATAAGAACAAAAGAATAATATAGTTCTTTTTAAATAAACAAAAGAGAAAAATTAGCTTGAGACTAAAAAATTGATACTGACAATTTTTCTAGTTTTTATACATACAATCACAATAAGGTTTTTTTAGGGTAAAAGATAACTTTCGGTTTTAAACGAACTCTAAATTTGGGGACTTTTATGTGACATGTAAAAATTATTTTGAAAAATACCTTCAAGTTGGAGTGTAGAAACAACAAAGTTGAAAATGTTAGCTTAAAAAACAACAAGTTAGCTCAAAAAAGTTTTTATTCAAAACTCTAAACTCAATTCATATTATTGACAAATTTAAAATTCAATTATCTTGTTATTATAAATATGTAAAGCTTACAGACTACTGTTCCATTTGAGGAGAAAATAAATTGGAAATACATGGAAATAAATTCTAAACACTGAAAGATTATAAAATCTTTTAATTAAAGTTCAATGAATAAAAACATTTAATATATTGGATAAAATTAAAAACATACTGATGAATGTAAATTTAGTTTAGAATTTTAAAAAAAGTATATTTTAAATCATTGGATTTTAATTAACAAAAACTTGGAATTATTGAATACACGCCCTACATCTTTTTAACATGCTTTTATCAAGAACCTGTTTAAATTCAAAGTTAAGTGCTTCAATTGATAAAGAATAATGTAAAAGAAAAAAAGTCCAAAAAATATGTAATGTAAAAGAAATATATCTAAAAGAAAACTCCCTAAAAAATCAACAGGATAAAACATCTTAACTTCTCTGTTAATTTATTTTTAAACAAATTAATGTCGGGAGTTAAATATTTGTATTTTAAGATATTAACAAAATGGATTATTCGGTGGCTTAAATATTTCCAACCCCTAACAAAATAAACTAACCCTATTTTAATACCCGTATTATATAGTTTAGCTAAAAATATTTTAAAGCAACTTTATTAACGTGAAAGTTTTTTTTGTTATTAATTAACAGTTTGTTTTTTTTAATATTTTTTTTATACTGCTTTCTTATATAAATATATATATATATATATATATATATATATATATATATATATATATATATATATATATATATATATATATATATATATATATATATATATATATATATATATATATATATAGGGGAAAGCGGGGCAACATGGCGAATGGAGCAAGATGGGTTTTCATATAACAACTCAACAAAAAATCTTAAAATTTGGTGAAAAAAAAACTGTATTTGCGTCTTATATTTTAAAACACTAATTGGTTTTTTATAATATTATTAACGCAATTTTATACGCATAAGTTTACTTTTTGCGCTTAAAAAAAAATTCCTCACTTTCGATTTCTCATAATGGATGGTGTCCTTCAAGTTTAACTTCTTTAGAAGTAGTTTTTTGCAATTTGTGTTTATTTTTTGTTACTTTAGTTAAAGTTATTGGTAGTTTTTATATTTTATAAAATTGGAGGTAAAAATTGCATAATAAGTCATCTTGCCCCGGTCATGTTACGAGATGACAAATCTATAAACTTTTTATTTTAATATTTATTTCAAATTGTTAGATTTGCAAAGTAAAAATTCATGCAGGCAATGAATCATTTTAATAACATAAACATACTGAGAAAGTATTATTGCTTCACGACTGATAGTTTTGCAATAACTCAGGCCTTTCAAAACATTCGCCATGTTGCCCCGCTTTCCCCAATATATAAATATATATCAATATTGATATATATATATATATATATATATATATATATATATATATATATATATATATATATATATATATATATATATATATATATATATAAATATATATATATGTATTAATATATAAATATATATATATATTACATATATATATATATATATATATATATATATATATATATATATATATATATATATATATATATATAATTTATATAATTATTATACTATTTTTGTTTTTTATTTTTGTTAATCTGAATTATCGAGGGATAGGGGCAGTAAGTGCACATATATTGTTTTTTTTTTTTTCAATGGAAATTGAAATGGAACAAAATTGAATATTTTTTGAATGAAAAATTTGAATTAAACTGATGTTTATTAATTTGTAGTCATCTATTTTGTGATTAATAAAAAAAACTTGTCAAGCACATATAATCTCATTCTAATTAATACTTTGTGATTAACTCGACAGCATGTATAATCCCATTCTAACTTATATTGTTATTAAACCTATTTTTATCTAGAAAAAGAGTCACAAAAATGAATAAAGTTACCAACATTAATAAGCTTTTTATCAGAGAACTCGCTTCCAAAACCTCCCCTCGGAATATCTTCTACAGTTAACCCTTACCAGTATATTGTATCTAACGTAAAATAAAATTTTTAAATACGTTCTAAAATATCTTTGCTTTACTTTTGTTAGTATCAGAAGATAATCCGTATATAACTTGATTGTTCGCTCAGCAACATCGTTCATAACCTTGACTGCTTAATAAAAATTTCATCTTCAAATAGCCATTCTTCCATCTTCTCATTCTAAAGGTGAAAGATTTTGAGTTATGAAAAAATTAATCAAAATCTTTTCCCAATAAACGACAGAAGCTCTGAGCTGTCTTTATTTAATAGAAGAATATGAAGAGTTTTTGAGAATTAATAGCAAGTGGTTTTCCCGCACCTTTTAGCAAGTGGCTTCCCCGTACCTTTTAGCAAGTGGCTTTCCCGCACCCTTTAATTTTAAAGAAATTTTGCCTTTTTTTTTTTGCAGAAACTTTTTATTAAATTTATTAGAAAAAAGACTGAAAACTCAGAAAAGACTCATCAGTTAACTATTTTGCATTGTCTTTTGATTTAAATGACTGCAGCGGACTTTCAAATAACTTGTTGTATTTAGATCAGACGATCATCTAATTGATAATAACAATAATATTAATAACAATAACTATAATAACAATAATAGTAATAATAACGATAATAATGACAAAAATAACAAATAGTTAGATTGAAATTGTTTTTATTATTATATACTCATAGGAAGGAATCAATATACTGTTTTTTTTTATAAACATCAAGGCCAAGATTTTGCAAAAAAATAGATAAATCTGATAAGTATAGTGAACTTAACTCTGAATGTTTTGGATCACAATTCTACAAATACCAGAATTTAATGTATAAAACCGCCTAAAGAAATTAATGTTGTAAAAAAATCTGTAAGTCAAAACAGAAGAATAAAAATTTTTCTTATTTTTATTACTTACAAAAAAAAAGAATTAAAAAACGCATAAATTATAAGAAAGAAACATAGGTATATTTGTGAACCGATTAAAACTTATTGAATAAGCATATCCGAGTCTAATTAAATATATATATATATATATATATATATATATATATATATATATATATATATATATATATTCATATATATATATATATATTTATATATATTAATATATATATATATATATATATATATATATATATATATATATATATATATATATATGTATGTATATATATATATATATATATATATATATATATATATATATATATATATATATATATATATATATATATATATATATATATATATATATATATATATATATATATATATGATATATATATATATATATATATATATATATATATATATATATATATATATATATATATATATATATATATATATATATATATATATATATATATAGTGAAAACTAAATAATTATTAAGATATATTTCAGTTACATAACTAAAAGTTTCACGCAATAGCAATCGTCAGATGTAACAACAATAAAAAGTAACGACAAAAATTGTATACAAAAAAATGCTATGGAGTGTCCGCTTTGATAACATTATATATATATATATATATATATATATATATATATATATATATATATATATATATATATATATATATATATATATATATATATATATATATATATATATATATATATATATATATATATATATATATATATATATATATATATATATATATATATATATATATATATATATATATATATATATATATATATATATATATATATATATATATATATATATATATATATATATATATATATATATATATATTTATGTATATATAGATCATCATTATCATCATCGTCATCATCATCATCATCATCATCATCATCATAATCATCACGCTCATTTGAGCGTGTTTCACACGGAATTCACGGCAGCCATTACACCCGAGTTAATGGCGAGATAGAGTTGCAGCGCTTTTTTTAATAAGAAAACATGAACAAAAGTGTATGCAAATATCTAGCGTACATAAACTTCAGATTATGTAATGTTAAAGAATACTAAACATATATAAAGTTTTACAGTTTTACTTTGACTTGAAAACAGCATTGCGGCAACATCTCCTCAATTTTGATCTGTAGAATTTATTTCCCTTTTATAAAGTCTTTTGTTTGTAAAGACAACAAACCTGCGTGGCCGAGTGGTTAGCACTCAGAGTCTTTGAATCAAAATGCCGTGGTTTAAATCCTACCACTGGCATCTTTTTTTTTTTATTTTAATCTTTTATGATTTTTCTAAAATATAAAACAAAAAACCTTTAAAGATATATAGATGATATATACATAACATGTATAAAGGTATTATACGCTATAACAAACAAAAGAAAGAGAGTTTTTAAAAAACTTTAAAACTCTAAAAACGTCAAAACACCGGGAGAAAATTGTTGCGCATGTGTCATGATTAA